AAAACAAAGTTCCAGTATTAGGAATTTGTCTATTCCCCCAGCTTCACTGGCCAATTTCTGAGATTGAAAATACTAAATATGAAGTGAGACATCTGTTTTGAGTGAGCCGAAGAGGTCATGCATTTGCATCAGAATGATCACATATTAGTTTGTGTCCCATACTCAATTGGCAGTTGTGGGGGACGGTGGTGGTCATGTTTTGGGGGTTAAGAACGCATGAGAGGTCAGTGTGCTGTGCCATGTCTTATTAGGAGTACTACCTAGTGAAACCTCTTGCAGTTGTTGCATTGCAGCAGGGAGCTCTTCTTTGGTACTTAAATAACTGAATTGTTGCCCATTCCATAGCCCAATGAATTTGTTTTTGCCGAATGTGCATCCTAAATAAATGTATTGATATGTGTTCTGGCTGCTGACTTTCTATTCCTGCTGATGGACCAGGTGACCCTGTTTTGGTCATTCCTCCTGTTGTTTGGTGCCATCAAGTTCTTCAAGTGGACACAGCTCCTATCGACATGGAGAGGTGTAGCGTTCACTGCTGCAGGGATGGCACTTGTGACAGGGGTCATGCATGTCTTCATCATGTTCTCCCAGGCTGAGCGGTCGAGCTCAGCCAAGGCGGCACGGAACAGGGTCAAGAAGGAATAAAAATGGAGTGTGGAAATGAGATTCTGGGATTTATTATGGCCAACCTTCAAAAGGATTGCAAGTCAAATTCATATTAATATATACAGCACCAATTCCAGACATTGATATGCTCTCAAATAGGTTGTTCTGCTCCTCTTGTATCTGTATGCAGGAAAGAATTGTAGGGAGTTTATTTTCCCCCTCTTTTGGGCAGAGGAACTGTAGCACATGAACTTGATGTTGGTACATTTGCCCTGTCAGACATATTCTGGAAGCCTTTTTTCAGTAGTTATTTATCAGTAAAGCTTGCATCTTTCTTTCATGTAGTTGTGCACCATGTCTGTCACTCATCACAATGTGGTTATGTGGGGATTGTAAGTCAAACTGCTGCGTATGTTGAATGTTGTTGTGTTCTGTGATGAAAAGCAAAGGATACAGGATGCTCTGTGCTGTGAGAAGCAATAGAAGTGTTTTGTGATGAAAAAGCAGAGGATATATTGGCGGCCCTATTCAAGTACTAGATGAGAAGAAAATCCTGAAAGACTCAAAAGTTTCTAGTTCCTAAGTCAATATGTCATGCCTGCCAGATCAAAGAAAGAAAAAGAAAAAGGATCAGCTGCTGCGACGCTTTCCATTGCGAATTCTGACGATCGAGATACCCATTGCAGGTGAGTTTTGAGATATAGCGGTCCAACAGATGGATGCGAGGCTGCTGGAAGACTGAAACGGAGGAGGAATCCCTCCACCCACCCGCTCCGGCTTGGCTGCCTTTGGTTGATTAGTATTTTTTCAGCCCAATGTGGCCCAATACTGGTTGTTTCCTGTGTGCGATTGTTTCTTGACAACAGTCTGTTTTACCTTTGTGAATATCATGATCTGACTTTTCTGCTCATCAAACTCTAAAATCGAACATCTTTCTTCCTCAACTATCAAAATTGTTTGTGGTTTTCAAGACGGCTTCATCATTTTTTATAGTTAAAAAATCTAGTAATACTTGATAGTGTTTTTTAAACCACGACAAATGTCCCTAAACTCCTCTCGCTTTTGTTTCCAAAGTCACGTCGAAAAATCCAAATCAACCTAGGGACATTCCCAAATCTATAAATAAATATTTAGAGCTCATCCTCAGTATATCTAAAAGTTTCCCAAACTAGATTTAGCTCTAGGCAAATGGAAAAAATATCCAAAAAATTTTTTAAATTCTTGAAAGTGTTTTTTGATGTCTAAAAATGTCCCTAAACTTCTAAAAGTCAATAGAAAAATAAAAGATTGATAGGGACATGACAAATCCAATGCAAATATTTAGAGTTAAAAGTATATTTTGTTTTGTTAAACATATTTAGCTGTTTTTGTTGGAAAAAGTTTTTAAAAAAATTTTTAATTCCCAAAAAGAGGATTATAATTGATGTTCTAAACATGTTTTGAAAACCTTTTACAATAGAAAAAATTTGAGATGCAACCAGGATAAATGCATCGATTGTTAAATGCATCTTTTGATATTAGTTATGCATATCATTTTTTTTGTTTTGAAAACAAATATTAGTTTTTAAAAATAAAAGAATATGCACCATAAACAATATCCATGAAAGAGGATTAAAAAATTTAGTTTTCTTTCGTCACCGAAATTACGAATTTCATGAAATTCATTGAACCAAGGTAGGGGAGGGGTGAGAGGAGGAGCGGTGAGGATCCTGAGCTCGGACCTCTATGCTGCCTTACAATTGTCGACTTGAGGAAGGAGGCGGGTTGGGAAGGGAGGGATGAGCCACAATGACTAGGGAGGGAGAGGGGACAGTGCAGAGACATGGATGGAGTGGAAATAGGAGAACTATGGAGAGAGCGTGGATGAGCACGAATGTGATTTGATAAGCTGTATACATGAATGGTTAAAACTAACTTGAATAAAAATGTTGGGTCCAACCCCATCTTCACTGCCTGCTCTAAATGCAAACCTGTAGTGCTATCACCACCACCAATGTTTAACGATAACCAATAGTGACAATGAATTATCTTTGTGGTTTTTAAAGCAACCTACAGTGACAATGAGTTATCACTGCTAGATTCAAATGAACAAGAAACGAGAACTTATCACTGGCAGGTAGTGATAGCCACTTATGTGGTAGTAAGACATGGTAGGTGGTTGTGGTGACAATCCAGCCCATCCTCTGCATTCCACCACATGGTACACTAGTCAATGTTGGACCTTCAATGTTTCCATGTTTGTTCCCCTTCCTCTGTTGTGAGAAAATCCATTGTTAGAGTCCTAAAGGAAGTAAAGTAGATTAGAGTTACCTTGCCTTTTACTTTGGATGATACTAGCTCAGTATCCTTTGCTTAGTATTAGTATTAAGAAGGATGATTTAGGAAAGTCCTGTCTCACTGTCTTCCCAACTTTCTATATCATTTTCTTTGTGTTTATTGTCTCAACTAACCTCAACTATCTTCTATTTTTCCAACCATATGGTACAACTATACGGGGTTGTTGTGCATCCAAATTCTAAGTCCCTTGTGTGTTATGCCTTAGGAATAACATTTTTTTTCTTACAGTGCAGGGTGAGGAAATACTAAATCGCAAGGACTACAAGCATTCTTTCAATAAAGAATACCACCCATGGTTTTAAGTCCAACATTACAAAGAGGCAGTGAGGGATGGCAATTGGCAAGCTCTATGAGAGGTGAATTATGGGCGAAAAAGGGCAATGAAAGGGGAACCTCGCACAATCCACTCTCCACCGCAAATGATAGAGATCCAAAATAGAAGCATCACATTGTCTAATTACTTAATTACATAGAGGAATTATAATACCTAAATGTTCGATCGCAATTGAAAAATAGCCTAAAAAAATTCATGGAAATGAACCGAAGTATATTTTAGTAGCATTATTATTATTTTACGAGGCCTGAAAAGGGACATCCCCTCAAAAGTAGAGAAAAAGCATAGACCAGACATTTGGTACATAAACTTCAAGTAAGATAGGATTAAAAACTTGAGAAAAGGGTAAAAACTCATCATCCTTTGATACACATATACTAGACTAGCTTTCTCTACTATAGCAATAAAAGCCAACAAGGGGCTAGGTTCTATACGGGGTGCAACGATACCATACAAATGAACATTATTCTCTGCAAACTTAAACTGACATTATCTCATCCCACAAAAGTTGCATAAACCTAAGCTTTATACTTGTAGGAAATCCACAATCTATAATCTTACATAAAACATAAATCCCCTTAAAGGAAAGGGTCATCTAAGGATATATATTTCATGCTTCGACTGATCCCCCCGCCTAGCTTTACATGTGAGGTTCAAAATTTGCACTTGAAGCACCTCTAGTCCTCTCTTCAACTATTATGATAAATGTTATATGTGAAAAGTTCCTTGGCAGCATTATTCCTACACAAGGCAAAGATGACATTATTAGTAAATAATACAAACCGCATAGCATGATAAAGAGCACCCAAATAAAGTTGTGCTTCCTTGGTGTCAATTACATGTGAACAATGAGCAATTGATATTTGCATATGAAATAAGCTTAAAGGAATAGTTGATCAATTCTATAATGCAATAAGGGCAAAAGAGCGTTATAAGTTGTAAAATCATTAGAAGTTTAGACACATTAGAAGTCCACAATCCAGAAAAAGGCCAATTATAACCATCGCTTCCCAAAAGAACAAAATATAGGTCTATGTCCCACAAAGATAAAGGCCTCAAGCTGCCAAGTACTCCCACCATTCCAAATTGGAAGTCATCTTGGCTTTCTTAGATACAAAGGTTTACTATGTATCTAGACATAATGGATATCTAGGTGCATAGCAAAAGCTATGTACCTAGAAAAGCCAGATCAACTTACAATTTGGAATAGAGGAAGCAGCTAACAAACTGCATCAGCCAAAAGAGTGGGCAATTACAAAGTATTCCACTCTCAAATCAACAGGTTTCACATAGATCACACATCATATCAAATTTACTCATTTACCAACTTCTGTAAGTAAACTCAATCGATTCATAGACCATCCTGTACCAAACAAAAGGGCAATCATATAGCATAATTGAACAAACTCTTCTCATGGCACATATGCAAGGAATAATCTTAGAGAACATTCAACATGGTTAGTGATTTTGGAACCATAGGGAGGCCTAGGATCACAAAAGAAAAACAACACAAAAATTCCAAAACCAAATCTTGGATGTATTAAGTAAAATCTGTTAAGTTCTATCAACATTGCACACTAACATAGTCAAGATACTTGGATCTAATAATTGAAAACTATAAAAAATAAATTAATGAAGTGTTGAAAGCCAGATAATGATATCATAACACAAGAAAGAAACTATCTAACCTTTATCAGTCAATGGCCCATGTAGCCGGTTGAAATCATTTTTGTAACATCATGCTAGATCTAGATGTCCAAGTTGTGTCTCCATAGATGGAGCCACCACCTACTGATGAATCTCCAAAGTTCCTTGCATACCCATTGGTTGATTGGTTTAAGTTATTGACACCACTTGATCCAACATTCCTTCCATAAACACTGGAACCTTGACCAAAGTTGGTTTCAATGGACCCATAACCAAAGTTTCCAGTACAGTAAACAGAGCAATTATTGGCACCTAGAGCAGGCACATGATGAGGGTTTCCCCAATTCACATTGTTGTTCCCAATTCCACTAAGGTCCCCATTTCCAAATGGCACAAAGAAATTAGAGCTTCTGGAACTAGAAGAGTGATTAAGACCAAAAATACCCCAAAGGTTACGAACTAGTGAGTCAAATAGTAAACCATTATTCTCATTGACTCCACCATAGCTAACATAGTTGTTGAATCCACCTGAATTTCCATTATATGGATTAAGATGCCATCCACGCTGGATACCACTATTGAAGCTAGAGCCACTTTTAGTACATGGGTTCATCCATGTGTCAAAATTCATTCCAATTCCATAACTACTACCAAAAGATGGATAACCATTGTTCCCACCTGATAGAAGAGCAAAACATTCATCCATCCTCATTCCATAGCCACCTAATGGACTCATATTGTAATGCTGGGTATATCCATTAAGGAAGCTATTGGCTCTACCAGTTACATAATTGAACCCATTGATAGCAGAGCACATGCTAGGTCTAGGAGATGGTTCCATAGGAATAGCTCGCTTGACCTCAACCCTCTTACCTTTCAATTTATGGAATGTCTTGAATAATGCCCTATGCATGGCATCTTCTGAATCATACGTGATGAACCCAAAGCCTCTAGGGCGCTATGTGTGGTGGTCATATACCACGACAACATCAGTGATTGTTCCGAATTGTTTAAAGTACTTTGTAACGTCTTCCTTTGTCATAGTGGAAGCTAGACCACCGATGAATATCTTCTTTCTGTGTCTGGGCCCTCGTGATCCATGAGAACTACCATGACTATTGTTGAGAACATGTAGATCATCTCTAGGAATAGCTTTCTTTGCCTCTACCTAACAAAACACACCCAAACATATTGCATTATTTGCAATGGGTTAATTAATACAAGCTATATATGAACTAACATAATCTAGAAACATGGATCTAGCATCTTCTAATAAGCTTAGGATTTGTAAACAACAATAATTTACTCACCGTCTGACCATCAATCATATGCTTCTCTCCATGATGACATGCTTGGCTACAGCAGGGTCAGCAAACATGATGAACCCAAAGCCCCGGCTGTGGCCAGTAGCCCGATCACGCATGATGATGGCCTCCTCCACCTCCCCATACTTCTTGAAGTACTTTAGAAGGTGGTCCTCATTGGTGTCCCATGAGATTACACCGATGAACAACTTCATAGCATCTGCCTCCATCTCTTGTTGGACCGCCGCCATGAACCACCTCGCACGCACTCACACATGAAGGAAACAACTTTGGGCACCAACCGCAACAAATTCTTATGTGGTAGTGTGCTTGTCAAGAGGGCACACAGATTAATCTGAGATGGGGTAGGAAAGCTAGGATCTAGGTTCCTAGAGGGGCCATAACAACCTCAAAGGACACATAGCCGCCACCACTTCCTCCTCTGGTTCACTTCCTCTACCTATTGTTCTCCCCCTCTCTCTATCTCTCTGGCCCTTCCCTCTCTCTACCTTTTCTTTTTATTTTCCCCCACTATTACTTGACTTCTTTAGAAGATGTCATCTAGAGCGTTATATATAGTTGTTATGAGATCCACAATTTCTTGCCCTTCTTTTCTCCTGTTTTTGTGGTAAGACCGAGCAACTGACAACTTTTTTTTGAGTTTCTAGAAAAAGGTGAATTGAATATGCCTTTAGGCTCCCTAGCAATGGTGTACATGCTTCTTATGTGAAATGCTTTTATCAATTTCTCACAAAAGTATACGCTCTTCTCGTGCTCCCTACCTATTGTTCTCTCCCCCTCACTCTATCTCTCTGCCTCCCTCCCTCTCTCTAGCTTTCCTTTTTGTTTTCCCCACTATTCCTCGTCTTTTTTAGAAGATGTCACTAGAGCATTATATATAGTTGTACTGTAGTTTTTGTGCCCCATTTCATGCCTTCATTTGATCCCTCACTCTTCTCTGGTTTAATGCTTACAAAATTTTGCACATTTACTCCTAAAATATATTTCCATTTCATCCCATTATAGAATAAATTCTAAGTTAATTCTTGTAGTGCTCATTGAATCATTTTGTTACCTTTGTGAAAACATTAGATTATTGGGTGAAGGATGCACACAAATATTGTAATGCCCGAATAAGAGAAGCGTTAAGTTTAATTAAATCTACTATGGTATAAGATCCATAATTTCTTGCCCTTCTTTTCTCCTCTTTTTGTGGTAAGACTGAGCAACTGACAACTTTTTTCTGAGGCTCGCTAGCAATGAAGTACAAGCTTCTTATGTGAAACGCCTTTATCGCTTTCTCACAAAAGTATACGCTCTTCTCGTGCTGGCATTGTTTGTTTCTTAACAAAATGGTTTGTACTACTAATAATGCCACCAACATGTTTCGTGCTCGATCCATCTCCATCTAAGAAGTTTGTTACATGCTCATGTGTTCCACCACCTTGTGGTCATGTGTTTTGTGTCATCATGCCACACCATTTTCTGAAGAATCGTTCAACCACCATAGTGGCCCCATTGATGTGTTGATATAGTGCCTAGCTAGGCAAACAACTTGTTATGGATGTGATTCAACTCCATTCAGGTGTGACATGGTTTACAACAAAATGAATGAGAAAACTTTCAAGAACAACTACCCCCGTGCCCTTATCAAGATCTGGTTTGGTTTACAATTTGCTTTGAAAGATGGAACACATATACACAACATCTCTAATAGCCTCTTTTGTTTCAACTTTCTAAGTTGACATTGACTCTAAATTCTCCTATCTTCTGGTATTTAAGTGTCTTGGTGAAACAATTAGTAAATTGGTGTCGTGAAGATATGAACTAAACACCAAGACATTTTTGAGAACCCTATCTCTGACAAAACGATAGTCAATTTCTATATTCTTACTTATACAATGAAGGTTTGGATTGGCTGATAGATACTTTACACCAGTTGTCACACCAAAGTCACACACTTCTAGGACATTGTATCCTCAACTCATTAAGAAATCCTTGCACCCACATTATCTCTAGAGAGAATTCCTTATCTTACACTAGAAAGATGAAGTATTCCTTTCTTGGCCCTCTAAACATAGAAATCCCGTATCTGACACTACATGTATTTTTTGTGCAAAAAATAACACCACCGTCACTTCTGTTAGCTTTTCATCAAAAGGTTCCACTGTAGACTTGTCAGTTTTTTCCAACTTGGACCACAATAATGCCCTTATAGTGGCCGGTTGCAATCCTCCTCTCCTCTTCTCTCTCACTCCCTGAATTCTAGATCGAGCATGGAGGATACAAAAAACATCGAAGAGGTTGAGCCACCGCCGGCGGTATGGCCCTCCCTGGTGCGGGTGGGCAAAGCGGTAGCGGTGGTGCACCCCTCCCGCGCGTGGGAGGGCAAAGCGATGGTGGGTGCGCGCGCGGGCCACACGGCACCGGCGGCAGCGAGCATAGCGGCCGCAGTGGCGCCCCTCCCTAATTTGGGCGGGCACATCATGGGCGGCGACACGCCCTTCCCCGGGTACGCGCGCCTCTCCTGCATGGTCGGCCCGCACAGCACCAGCGGTGGTGCGCCCCTCCCAGGCACGGGAGGGCACAACTAGGGCAGCGAACCGCCGTTTCCTGGCATGGGCTGGCACAGGCCCACCCCGGAGAGCGCGACCCTCCTCGATGCCAAGTACAGGCGTGGAGAGCTTTGGTCGAAGTGCTACCTGAAGGCTTGTTGAGAACACCACCTTGCTGATATCAAATTCAAATAGCGAAAAATTGCTATATTTGATATATAGATTTTATAATTTCCAACCCATGGTAAAGGAATCCCACTATTTATGTGATTTTTTTGAAAGTAAATTATGTGAAATATTTTCATTTTGTGAAGCGTTATCCTAGTAGAATGTCTACGATCTTCCTTACATGGTCTGAAGATGAAAAGTCTAAACATCTTGCTGCATATAAGTCTGAACATCATATTGAGGGACAATATGGTCCTTTTACCTTCAGTATAACACCGTTAGGCCTCAAAGTAACGACGGTGTGTTATTTTGGGCGCAAAAGATACAAGTAGTGTTAGATACGGGGTTTCTAAGTTTGGAGGGCCAAGAAAGGAATACTTCATCTTTCTAGTGTCAAATAAGGAATTCTCTCTTATCTCTATTGTTGCATTATCCATAGTTTTATAATTCGTGGCTTGTTTCTGAGAACTCCAAGATATCAAGTTGGTACCGAAGAATACATCAAAACCAATAGTAGACTTTGTCATCATAACATCATGTCCAATCATCATACGAGAAAACACAAACTGGCATAGATGAAGACCTTCTAACTTTCAAGCAAATGTCCAAAGTATACATTGCATACCTTAAGATTCTTGAGTAGTAAGGGAATGCAAGTACTATAACAAACCTTATTAATAGCAGAGAAAAATATATTGGGTCTAGTTAAAGTTAAATATTACAAATCCTCTACAAGCTTCTATATCTATATCTATATCTATATCTATATCTATATCTATATCTATGTACCTTATAATCTTAAACCCCACTAAAATTATATCTCGACATGCAAGACATCCACATCAGCAACCTATTAGCGCTTGCAATCTATATCTATATCTATATCTATATCTATATCTCTTATAATCCTCAATCTCACTAAGATTCTATCTCGATATGCAAGACATTCACATCAGCAACCCATTTGCTCTTGCAATTATGTCACCTATTTATTCATACGAGCTATCCACGTCAGCAATCCATCATATCCTCTATAATACATTTATTTGTCTGCCAGGATACCTTACTGTCCACTAAAATTCATTTGTGATTCACGCCGCAACACGTGGGGTATGCTTCTTGTTCTATAGAATCCTTAGGTCCTAGTGTCACCTGGTTTAAAAGATAATATTGTATGCCACGTGAAGACATGATCAATGATAAATTGCTAAAGGACAATTGGGTCTATCAGAGATGCAGATTGACAAGACACACCGTTCCCGTCAACACTCTAAAACTAAATGATCCCATCATTTTGGTTCAACCTGAACAAGTTGAATCTACTGCTTGAAAAATGTGATCCTTGATGATCGCAGGGAATATGGGATCGTTGAGGATTGTTAGAAATTAGCCCTGACAGTCGCAAGCTTTTCACTAATCTCCATGTGTGAAAGCATCGATTAGATCTACCAAGACGAACACGCAAGATCAGGCAATGCCTATATTCTTGGGGCATGACTATGGGCGCTCCTTCTCGATACTGCAACACCAAGCACTCTTGGGTCCTGGAAACATGCTGCTCTACAACATTAAACAAGATACATTAGAATGACACACCATGAAATATATTTTAATAGTACATCTATTTGATATGGTAAATGTTAATATATTTTCTTTGAAGTTGGTTAAAATTAGATAAATTTGACTTAGGACAAAACTAAAACAACGCACAGTTCCAAACAGATGGAGTATTTTATTAGGAGTAGCTCGATAGATATGTGCAATTTAATATATAAAAAAAATATTTTGCCTATAAAATAGAACAATGAAGCTTAGGCTTCAGCCACATACTTATGCGCTGGTTGTGTTCCATCGAGCCATCAAGTTATACAAGTATATGTTATATTCACATACACCAACTACTTGGTCAGAATTTTTTCTTAAAAACACTAGTGTCTCTAGCTGAGTTGGTTAGATGGCTTGAGTGGCACTCCTTAGGTTCTGAGTTTGACTCCCACGACTAGTGCCCATGTTGTTTTCTAACTCGACTAACATGCATGATGGCCGGGAGTAAACATGTGAAGATGTACTGTATTTCAATTATTCACCTTTTGACTAATTGTATCCCTGCTCCAGAAGTCCGAATGGTTTTACACACATTTGTCATCTATAGTCTCTTATAAACACAACAACTTAGATATCCAATGGCATAATATGGGCGATATATACCCGGCATGACGTAGATATATCAGATTTTTTTTTTATTTTTAACACTTTTTTGAAACTATTTTCAAATTTGACACTGTTTATTTTTTTTTTCAAAACTAACGCTTTTGGTCGCGCCCATTCACATGGCGCGGCGAAATCACGATGCCGCGCCATGCATGGGGGCGTGGCAGGAGTGGCGACATGGCAGCGACCAGGGCCGCTGAACGCTGACGTGACCAGGGCTACCGCGCCACGGATCTAGGCGCAGCACTGACGCGCCACAGCGCATGGCGCGGCAAGGCCGACTTAATGTAGCGCCGCGGGGCTCCCTCCCTCTCTCT